TTGCCGGCTGGGTTTGAACCACGACAACAATATTAAAGAAAACTACAGAAATCTGTGCTTGAGTTTTTTCCAGTGCAGTATGACTAGGTATCTGTCCCACCTGTTTTTTCTTCAGTGGCAGAGTTAGCTTGTGGCACTTCTCATCTTCATCCTTGTTTTGAGTTTTTGACAATTTCAGGCTTCCATCTTTAATTTGTTTTCTTATTTAAAGTTTCTTTAATAATGGAAAGTACTCACATTTTGTTTGAATCCTTTTATGTTGGAAGTATCCCAGAACTCCATCACCAGTCTATCTTTTTATTTACCTATGAAGCAAAATTTTCCTTTCCATTCTTCCAGAACTCATAAACCAGTTGCAGGTTAAACAAAAATGAGTTTTTAGTGTATACGGCAGGTCTTGCTGATATACTGCCAGTTATCTCTCACAGACATCCTTTCTGAACTGGCTTTGCTTTACATCATCTTGTGGCATACTGGATGGCAACAACAAACACCCATCTGTTCACATATTCTTAGGATGAATGTCCATGGAAAGGAAATCCCCATAGATGAGAAACTGCATCAAATCAAAGAACAGCCAAGTGAATGGAAAATAACCTTAGATCGGCTTTATCTTTGGGGCAGACCAAGCCAACACAGGACTGATGCTAGTAGCCCAGTTCTATTAGAAAATGAGACAGTATTGCATGTGGAAGGGCTGCCCTGTCCAACACAAATGCTGTTTTCTCATTTCATTCCAAATTATTTTTCCCCTCGCTCCCTGACAAAAAGCTGTTAAAACGTACTTGCTTTAGGGACAGGTTTAAAAGTAAGAAAGCCCAGGCTTCTGCTGACTGCTTTTACAATAAGGTGCACCCCGGCCTCTGTGATATCTTAGCTCGTGGGTGCTCTAGCTTTTCATATTCAGAACAGATCTGTACAAATAATGACTCGTAAGATTTTTCTGCCTATAATTCACCATTACCATTATTTGATTTCCATTTTTCTATGACTTCCATTCAGGAACATGAAATAGAAAAGCATAGTTCTTCTGTTGGCAGGAAGGAGACACATAAGTGATTACATTTGTTTATGGAAAATTCAGGGTTTTGACCCAAAACAACCCATATGCTATTTGGCATACACATTTTCCTTAGCCTATCCAGCACCAGTAGGAAGCACAGCAGAACACACTTCAGGTATATTTAGAACAAGCAACTGGCCAACAATGGCAAAAATAATTTCCCAGGATTTGGTGGGAGTTGATCTTGCCCTAAGTGCAGACTACAGCATCAGAAGGATTTAGTAGGCCCTGTGAACCTCTATCTTCACAGCACAAAGTTTGTAAAGAGATTGTTATAGCTCCTAAAAAATTAATCTATACTTGATTAATTGTCTCATCTCTACTTGAGGCATTAGCTGCCTTGATGCCTCTCTTCTGTCTGTTATCACACACATTGTCATGTTGGTTGCCCACAAAGGTGTCTTACCAGTTCTGTGATGCTTTCTTTCTTACTTTTCAAATGCAGAGTAAACAGTTCCTAAATCCCTTCCTTATAATCTTTCTTATGTGGTATTTCTTTGCATCAGAACAGCCTGCCCTCATTAAGAGCTGCAACTGCACAGGCAGGTGTCATTGTCAATGAATAGAAGTGTTCAGAAAACCTGTTTATCTCAGCTCGGTCAGGTTTTTTACCTGCTCCGGAGTCAGCACACTGCACAGAAGTGTGCTCAGTGACGTAAGATTAACATAACAAAGTCTGTATGTAACCAAGTCTACAGGTTAGTTGTAGTGCAGGTGTTGAAGTGGTCAGGGAGGTGCTCTCAACACCCAAAACAACCTATTTATATAGCCACATGCCAGTAAAGTTCACGTAGCACTGTGGAAAAATTATAATTTACTGTAACTGCAGCGTGGCTATGAAAAGAAGGGGCTTCTTGGATGTTCAAAGTCCTTTTCTACTGCATTCATAGTTTTGTGAAGAAGCAATAAATTAGGTATCTTTTGGAAATCTTCCCTGCCCAGCACCATCTGAGTAAAAACTTTGCAGATTTCCAAAGAAAGGAAAAAGTGTATATAGGAGACACAAAGATAATCTCTTAATCAACAGTCTGGCCTATCATGATGCTCAGCATGTGCTAACAATAGCTCCTGGCAGGCTCGTCCTCTGTTTTCCTATGCATGCCAGAGTCTGGCTGCAAGATAGATTTTTATTGCTACTGCTATCCAGATCAAATCTAGCAAAGGTGTGCCTATCTCTGGCCAAAGCTTTACTCATTCTACAAATACCTTAAGGCAAAAGAAACACATTGAATTGCCAGGGACTGGGGAAAAGAAAACCCTGCCAAACTGAAGGACTCATACAGGAATCACTATGGGGAGATTTGGGGTTCTGCTGGCATTTTCATCCCTTTCACACCCACAGAACCTGCTTCTTTCAGGAATTGAGATGGTCCACAGTGTCTTGCTCCCAGAAATGTCCTCCCTGACTTAATTCTTCCTGTAGCCTTATGGCACATGTCAGTCAGACATGCCCAAATTCCTGTTCACAAGACCTGTCCATACACCAATAATTTGACAAGATGCAGATGTCAAGAACAAAGACAAAATAATACCACACACACCAAGTTGAATGTGGTTAACTAAGTTGCTTTTAGTTTATTAATTTTACCCATATACATAGTTGATTTTTAAAACACCACGTGAAAGAGCCAGGACAATGTGTAACAAAATGGTACAGGAAAACATTTCAATACATAATGTGGCAGGGTACCTACTGTGTTTTATACATACTTACATTGAAGACCAACACCTCCCCCCAGTTTTCAGAGGAATACACATTTCGTACTGGCAAATTTAGTTTATTAATATGTAAAAAAATAAATCTACTATAGCAACAGTGCAAACACATCAGAACTTGCATGGCATACATAACACAAATGAATAAAAAATATTATACAAAGGGTCCAATGTTTCCTATAGCACTGGCTGTGACATGTACAACAAACAATAGGGTTAAGAATAAACTGCAACACAAACGGGAAGATGAGCTGCATATTACTGGTTCTGTCTTGTATGGTCTTTCTATTTCAGGAGGTAAAGCTGTCATGCCTTGGATCTGCAATTAAAATAATAAAAAATGTCAGGGTTTTGTCACATTAATTAAAAATCTGTATTTTGCTCTCTAACTATTTGGCAGCTTGCATGAGAATCTATTGGTAGTTTTGTACTGAGGTTGTGACTTTTAGTGTGCTGACATCAAATTCAGTAAAAACATGAACATATTGCATGCTGAATGATCAGCCAGTATGCACATCCATTGTTTTCAGCTTGGGAACAGCTGTGCACACTGGAGTCCTCTCCTGTAAAGCAAGGTTAGACTTGTGTTGGTTGATTTGTATGATCTTATTTTGCTTTGTGGGATTGTTCAGTTGGTTTGCATTTTGCTTTCATCTTTCTCACAGATAAAAATGGAAGTTTACAGTGTTACAGTGCTATAGGGGTGTTAGATGATATTTGACACGTTCATTTGTATATAGAAAGCTTACACTTGCATGTACAAGGTAGTTAATTGTTACATTAGATCACATAGAATCACAGAACAGTTGAGGTTGGATGGCATCTCTGGAGGTCATCTGGTCCAATGTAAAGCAAGGTGATCTACAGCAGTGTCATGTCATATTTCTACGTATTGAGTATTTTTTACTATTCCCTTAGAACTCAGTGCAATTTTCATGGAGTTGGACATAACTGCCTGCCTGTCATGGTTTTGACAGGAATTTTGAGAGATTTGGGTATGCTTTTCCTAAATGTATTTTCCTATGCTTTTCCTAAATATACTCCCTACATGTTAGAGAAAAGAAGCTCTGCAAAAACGGAACTCCTGGGACAAACATTTGTGGAAGTTGGAATGCCCACTTGCACAGCATGTGCTTGCTTTGCTTTTGTTTCTTTTTCCTATATTGCACCTATCCTGCATTGCAAAAAAAGGTCTAAATATTGTCCTAATCTTAGCAAACATAACACAAAGCTAAAACTGATTGAGGGACCATCCCTAAGTAAGGATTAAGGTATTTTCAACTCATTTCTTCTGCTTCAGGTTTTTTCCTTCTGGTACCAACTCACTGATTATTTGGCTATTCAGCTTAAATCTGTTCTCGATTTTGTTGAGGATGGCAAATTTAATGTAATGTCACTAATAAGGGAAAGGAAAAAGTCCTAATCTTAGCTTTGATGAATATGTCTTAGTCATTTGAAGTAGGAAACTGTGATCAAAAGGAAGAGCTAAGCACTCCCAATTCCAGTGACCTCACTCTTTGATTACATTTTTTAAGTTGTAAGTATTGTTCCTTCATCCTGTAAGATAAAGGGGAACAGCATTTTCCAGAAAGTGTACCATTAAAAAAACCCCAAAGCCTATCCCCTCTTGATAAAATTTCTGTGTGCTTTTCATCATCTTAACTTGTCTTCTGAAAATAATTAGTGAAAGAGTGGCTAACAGCTTCTACTGGCCAGCAGTTGCGAAGGTCAAGAATTTTAACCAAAACTGGTCAATAGTCACATGTACTGTCAATAACCACTTTTTACTTACTGATACACAATGACGCACAGTAAATCACATTTATTTCATGGTATTGTTGCCTCCTTTTCAACAGTTAGACTTACCGACCACTCTGCATTATCCGTTTTTGAACATCTCACATTCACTGGTAGTTTCAGCACAAGTTCGTTATAGGAGAGACCCTCTGATCTGGACCATTTGAATTTGTTCATTGCATCCATAAAAGACAGGTTTTTATATTGCTTAGGGCTCTTGATAATGAAAGGCCAAGTCCTAAAGAAAAACAAATAAATAGATTTTTTAAACCAGTTAAATAGTGTCAAGTTGGAACCGATGAAGAAAAGAATCTACTCAGAAAAACAAATGTACCATTAATATGTACATGATGCCTCATTCATTCTCAGCTAAGTTCTCTGCTACTGATAACTGACGCACTTTCACAGATTTTAACAGACTCACAAAAGGATGTCAGCAGTTTAGGACTTGCTGCCAGGTGCTTTTAGAAATTAAGCACTTTAAGTTAAGAAAAATAATTACATTGCTCTTCTCTGATCTATAAACTGAACACACAGACAACACAGAACAGATCTTCTGTTGTCATTTCTCAAAAAAACTCTAACCAAAACAAAAAAGCCACACCCTCTACTAGGCTTGGCAGGCAATGTCGCAAAGAAACATTTGCCATTAGAAAGCTGCTTCCAGATGGCTCTGCCAAGCTCTGGTCATAACTCAGATAATAGGTCAAAACTCAGCTCAGAACAAGAGTTGTTCTAACATGCATCAGCTGGCAGTAGTGCCAAAAGATCAAATGCAAATTAGTGGTGTTGTGGACATTGCCTTTTGGCATGTCCTCACATGCTGGCTGCAAGGGGACTTTTGGCCAGGGGCTGGGACAGAGACCTGCTGCTCTGCTGTGAGACATCTGACTATCTGCCACATGTAGGAATCCTCGAGAATAAGTGGGGCGCGGTAATCCCATTGACCACCAGCCAAAGATGTGGAAAGGGAAGGAATGAGATTTCTTGTCATTCATTTACTAAAGAAAACTCAAAAATAAATACAAAGGAAAATAAAAATAAAATAATAAAACAGCTAAAGAAAACCTTTTCCATTCTTCTTCCTTTCTCCTTGTTTGACTCTACTGGGATGAATGGCGGAAAGGTCAACTTTTTAAATACAGAAAATCCAACACAGCTAGTGGAAGGGTAAAAGCAGATAAAACTTTATCTAAATAACCTAATTAATAGTTTGGTTGGAGCATAGGTTATCTTTTCAAAGCATTCTAGACAGATCTGTATTATCTTGCAGTAGGCTGTCTCCCACTTACTTTAAAGTGCTGCCTATGCCAAATCCTACTCTACTCAACATCTAGGCACAAAGGGCATACTTTTAATCAAGCACCTATTTTACACTATTATGGCCCAATCACTTTCATATCAGCTTCTCATGATTTATATCACTATCTGTGCCACCAGACTGATAAAAAGAAAATACTTCTATACTGTGCCTTGATCCTGCTTCCAGTTTGCCTTCATGTGTGAGTCAAGAGAAGCCTTAGAGGAGTCAGTGAAGCAATTCCAGTGTAAGACTGACACAAGAAAGATGAGTATCAGGTCACATATCCTTAGGCTGACAGAGCTTAATGAAACAAGAATTGTGGATTAGGTCATAAATACTAGAGGCATTAATAATCTCTTCTTCTAATTACTATTCCATTTGCGGCAGACAGTCTGCATACTTACTCTATTCAAAACATCTTTATTTCCCCAGGCCAAATGTGCATTTTTTTCTTAAGTACAGTTATCATGAATGAACACTCAAGAGAGCATACATTTGTTAGAATATTTTCTTTCTAAGCTCAGAAAGACTCTTTTAGCTAGGACTAATTTAGAAACTATGTTCTCTCTGTATTAAATAGATTGCAAATAGCAATAATGTGGAAAATGAAGTAGACATTGATTGCATGATGACTTTCTTCAAACTCTTCTGTCTTGAATATAAATTTCAGAACTAAGACCAATAAGCCCTGCATGTCAAATTACTTCGCAGTACACTTCGCAGTGTTGTTAAGATAAACTGTATAAGGAAAGGAAAGTTTTAAAATGGAAATATAATGACACACTATTAGTCTATACATTTTATTTTAAAATCTTACTCTCAGTTTAGTGCAAATAAAAATATAATTCACCTTTCACCACTAATAATGCATTCTACTTTCTATTGTTTGATTATTTTCCTCCATTTCATTCATTTGGGAACTTTCTTTTTTAGACTTTTTTTTTTTTTACAATCACTTCCATTGCTGATCTGCTATTCAGGTGTTTTGATTTTAAGCATTGTAAGGAACACTTAAAAACTGAATACACTATGTATTGATTTTTATATATTTACACACATGTATCCTGTATATGGTGGGGTTCCTCCCATCTCCAAAATTTACCAAAATTTAGATTTTGTTTTAGACTCTGCAACTCACTCTTGCTCTCAGTGAGCAATATCATCGGGCAGATCACCACACCGATATTAAAGGGCATAAAGGCCAGATCCAACAACACACTGAGAAACAGTATGGTCTTGCCAATGACTCCCATGATTTTGTTCTTGCCAAGGACAGCAAGACTTCTGCTGACTTACTTACTAAAGAAACTGTAAAACCCTGTTTAGCATTCAGCAACCTGTAGTTTATCTCAGCAGCCAGATGTCAGCTGAATTGCATGAACCTTCATGGTGGTTATTACAAGATCCTGAGTTGCCTAAAATGATATAACAGCACCCAGTCCCCTCCACAGAGGGGATATTTAATATTTGTGGAGCACTATAGTAGACAGATGCTACTACAAAATTATATTAGTCCTTTTGAGCTGAGCAGTGGGCCAATATTCAGATTTTCGTGGGTAATTTTATTAGGAAGAAAAATCTGTGAATGAGTTAGGGAGAAAAATTCTTTCTGACATGGATCTGCATCTCAGAAATGTACAGTGTCCTGCTTTCCTGAACAGCAGGAGTCCAAGACTTGGGAGACAGTGTCTTTGCACAGAATTGCAAACCCCTGCAGCCAACAGCTCACCTAAAAAGCTCTTTTCTTCCTCTTGGCTAGGTTCCTACCACTGCTTCCATGTTTTATTCTCTACTTACTTTGCATATCATCCTCTGATTTGTTATTCCTCCAAAGCCTCCATTCTTTCATTTGTCTCCATCATAGTGCTTATCTACTATTTATCTTTTACTATAAACAATTTAATATTTTCTCAATCTCTCCATTTCCTTTCTAACTTACAATTTCTCCCCCTTTTGTGTATTTTTGTCAGTGTCACAAAGACAGTGTTAAGCTCTATATGTGAGCAAGAGTTCTAGAATCTGGTTCTACCAACTGACTTCAACAGAATTACTGACAACAGATCTACCAGTGGTAATTCAATACCCATGCTCCCAAACTCCTTTTTCAAAATTTTCTCTATGTATGTGTGAAACACTGATATGTTTTAATAAACTGATAGATTTCAAACATTGATATGACATTGATAGTCTTTTTGCAGATGGTTGTGGTGAAAAAAAAATTGCTGTGAGAAATATTAATTCTTTAGTGTAAGAAACAGCTTTTTAGTTAAGGAAAAAAAAAAAGATGCAAAATAATTTTGCAGGAAAAATAAGTAGCAGTACTTACTGACCAAAAAGAAGTGGCCTGAGTGACCCTGCGACATGTTGCACCAACAGAAAGAAATAAAGGTTGTCTAAAAATGATCCTGTAATCTCACAGACAGAAACAGAGAAGTTACGTATGTTCATAAACATTTTACTTGCCTGACTGGTCTATAGATTTCCTTAACACCAATGAACTGGAGCTGTTCCATTATATCTGGAATACTTGCACATCGGGTGAGGTTGATTCTTGGGTAATAGAGCAGATATGACAGACACATTTCATTCCTGGTGCTCAGACCACCCTGAAAATGGATTTTTCTTTCAATCAAGATAGCACTGGAATCCCACAGATAAAAGCACTGATTAGCATTTATATGTTAATGAAATGTGTATCAGGAGGCCCAATTCAACGTTTATCATCTTGCACATTAGGTTATCAAGTAGCAAGAAGTTATTACATAATTAATTACAAAATACACTGCAAGCTCAAGCAGTATCTCCCCAGCTTAAAAGATATCAGAAAGAACAACTATAAATAAAATAAGCCTCCTATTATATTGAAGAGTACTATCTGAGAAGTTCAGTTTTAATTTCAGCTATCTTCAATGTACTTATACTATCATGTTTCAGCAAAAGGTCTTCAAAACGGAGCAGATTTAGAAAAAATCTTGTAAGATAATTAGTCAGTTCAAGTAAGAAATTAAATGTGCTTTGTCTAGTAAAATGGAGGCTGGGATGGAATATGTATCTATATGGACTTTCCTTCTAAGTACATATGCAGATAAAGTAAGAAAGGAGTTATTTAACAGGTCATGTTGACTCAAGAACAAATGAGCACTAACCATAAAATAATTAATTAGAGTAAAATTTTTAGCTAGCAGAAGAAACAGACTCTTAAGCAGTGTTCCATTAAGAGCCAAGAGGCAAACAACTAATTTAAAGTCAATCTTGGCAAATATGGGCAAGATTATGAGCTGCACATTCCATAAATTTTACAGAACCATGGGAATAGGAAAGGAGAAAACAGAACACATGAACCAAGGGCCAAGAACTAGTGTGGTCACCACACAGGAAAACAGGACAAAAACTCAAAAGCCTTTGTTCTCACTTCTTTGCTTTTCTTTATATTATCTACTACATGCACCTACATGCAAGCCATGATTCAGGGAGAGGCATCCCTGCGCTCTCTGGATGCCAGGAGCAGCTCTTCCTTGCCAAACAGAAACCTCTTAGGTCTCACCTCCTGGAGGTTTGGATCCAGCCCCTCCAGAGGAACAAGGATCAGCCCCTGCCAAAGGCTGGGTGCCGGCAGCTACATCCCTCCCATCTGCCTCCCATCTGGCATCACCCTCTGCTTTTGTAGCCAGCTGCCACAGTCCAGCTCATGTCCCAACAACTGAATTTGCTTCATCTCCAAAACCAAGTGGCCGCATCGCAATGGCCACTGCCTGGCCTCTGCTAGCCTAAAAGCTAGCTAAACATCTGGGAGACCAGTTGTTGTCATGTGGCAAACCTGAGCTGGATCCTATTGATCCCAAAGGGGATACTCACCCCCCGGGCATGGCCCTGCCCTGTCAACTGCCGTGGACATGCACCCAGGGCTGCAGCATAGCTACTCCTTGTGCCTTGGCTGCAAGGCTGCACAGGTATAGCACAGGCTTCTCCTGTGCTGCCCGTGGCATGCAGCTAGAAAACACGTCGCATGAGAAGTGTAACTGTGTCAGCCTCCTCCTCCCAGCCTGAAGGACCTGCATTCTGCCTGCATTCTGTTAGGCAAAAAAGCAACTGGTCCCCTCTTGGTTGCGGCATGACTAAAAATCAGTATCTAAGAACTAGCAATAACAACTTCATGGAAAAATGCATAACAATTTTTTAAAAAATAATTAATTATTGAATATGCAGGGTTTACATGTTAATTCATGTCATGAAGAAAGCACTCCTTATACTAGCAAAGTCTGATTTTTCAAGTTTTGTATGAGCTGGCTTGCTTATTTTATAATATAGTCATATGAATGCCTTATGCAAGAAAGAGATCAGACTATGATCATAATATTTCTTATCACTTTAAAACCTAAGAATCTATGAAAGGAAAGCTAATACATAATTACTTGCACACAGGCATTGTCAAGTTCATACTTTTTAATAGCATTTTATGAAAAATATTTTAGTTCCTAATATTATCTGTGTAATTAGTTTGATCCATTAAAACTTTTCTTACCCATGTCATGCGAATTCTGTCCACAGTACTGTAGTGACATTCTGTGATTAAGTTATCCCCCTGAAACACAAGATTTAGGAAGTTCACAGTTCTGAAGTTTATCAAGACCAGCTTCAGGTAACCACAGATGACAGCAGAAATAAAGATCACAGCAGTGGATATGACTTCTTGAAAAAGCAAAGGATTAGGTAATTGGTATATGCTAAGGTCCTGGCACGTAGCATTCACATTATCCCAGATCCTCAGGGATCCCCCATGGATTTAAAAAGAGTTTTATTAAAAGTCTTGTCTATTTTTTTTTTAATAGCGATGGAAGTGCCCAGTTATAATCCTATTTTCAGAAGAATTATATATGTAGATGATGTATACACATGATTCTTGCTCCGAAACTCACCCAGTGCTACTTTGTATAGCTTTCCCCAGGCCAATTTATCCTGCCAACTACAGTATAAATACTTGCCAAATGAGGAAAAGAAGGTTTTCCACATCACAATAACAACTAGTTATCTGCCAAGCCTGGGAGTGGAGGAGTGGCAGGCAAAAAGTTAACAACATTGACAGATATGTATGGGAAAGGCTGAATACTCACCTTCTCAAGTGCATACAATTAACTTTTTGCTGTCTTGACAAACTGATATACAGTTTGGTAGTATCTTAATTCCCTGTACCTGATCAAATACAAATCTCAAAATCACCATGATAATCAAGTGGAAATTAAAATATTGAGGAACAGAGTCAGATGTCAAAGATCTGATTTTTTTGAGCAACTTCATATCACAATGATGCCAGGCATATATTTGCTTTGGTTCATTTTTTTGTATCATCATCTTCCTTTGATGCCCACTGTATTATTTTTCCATGAAAAAATCATATCACATTTCAAAGGTTGAGAATTTCTCCTTTCCTGTGGGCTGTCTCATTGCTAGATCAATGCTAGCACTAACTGTACTCCGGGCTGCCGGAAAAAGGTGCGTCAGCCACATGTTGGCCAAATGGAGACAGAGGTTTCTGAAGCAGCATGAACTGGCACAGCTTCGTTGCTCCCAGTGGGAATATAGTGGTTCCCACCAGCGAGGTCTCTGGCTCTCTTGGCTTACAGACTGGATAACACTGACTAAAAATTCTCCTCTGCAAGATTAGATCTTTTGCTGCCAAATTCAGAAGAGAGTGCTAGTACACGAAGAAAACAACCTGGACTCCACAAGCTAGAAGACGGATACACCCTTGGAAAAGCTTGCAGAAGGAGAGAACAACAAGAACTTATATGAAAATTTTTAATATTATTAGTTAATTGATTAGACTATGGTCCGAATTACACCACATGATGTTTGTAAAGCTATACTGGTAATTTTGCATAAGATGAAAACAATAAAAAGCATGAAAAAGACTTACTTCAGAATAAAATTCCAGCTTCTACTCGAGCTGTCTTTTTTAAGTTGCTGATATTATCAAATGCCTCATTTAGTTTTTCTGCTGTCTACTTCTTTTTGTTCTTGAATTTTAAGAGGCCTTTCTCTATAATCTGCATGGATTTTCCTAAAAATATTACAGGCTTTTTCTGCAAACCTGTCATCTCCTGCCAGCCATCTTCCTAAACCCTTCAACACTTCTTTCCTGGAGGAGGTAACACTAGTTTGTCTTTGAAGTCCCTGTGGAGTACAAGCAGTTTGACTTCAAAGAGTAAATGCTACACCTGAACATCAGGTTTTACTGTAGAAATTAAATTAGAAAGTTAGCATTTTACCTTCTTCTTTTTAAAGGACAGATATCAAAGTTTCCCAGTGTGAGAGAAGAGACATAAGAGAGAAGGGGACTTTGAAAGCAACCTGGAAGTTTAAACCATGGGGCTCCTGACCATACTTGAAATTCAGTTGTTGCAAAGGTCTTTTCAGCTACCTTTCCCTCACTGGCTCCAATTGTAAACAAAATCCAGTTGTAATTCAGTTGTTTAGTATTTTGTATCTGACCAATTCCATCAAGGCTTGTTTGCATGCACCAGGACAAGTGTATCTCCAGCTGCTCTGCTGGCCAGATCTGGAGCACCCACTCTTTGCAGCACTAAACTTTCTGTCCTCAGGCTAAAGCTTCAAAAACAGATGCTGTCTGGAACTAGCAAAAGATGAGTGAATAATTTTTAAATGAGTGACTCATCCAAAAATATAGACTCTTTTCATGCAACACCTGTGTCTAGCTACTGCTTTATGATGTAACTGTAGTTGGGATTTTTCTGAAAGTTATATTGTATTATTGTCACAAGAACAGCAGATGGAATTACATGATTTTTAGTAAGCTGTTTTGTTTACCTTGGAAACATCACATGGAACATGAGCATGGAGTTTTACTCCCAACAACAATTAAAAAGTTGAAACAAAATGAAGACTTGGCTGTTTCACAGACATGTTTGCAAGGCTGGATACTTGCTGAGCAAACACTCAGGATGTGCTACTTGTTTCCAACAGATCTGTAAAACCTGGCAGTGGCATTTCCATTCTTCAGCTGTCTGCTTGCTCAAAGATGGCACAACCAGGTACATGTTGTCCTGGGTTCAGCTACAGCAGTCATTTTTTCTCCTTCTTAGTAGCTGGGGCAGTGCTGTGGTTTTGACTTTCAGTCTGGGAACAACGCTGATAACACCGATGTTTTTAGTTGTTGCTCAGTAATGTTTACTCTGACCAAGGACTTTCTCAGTCTCATGCTTTGCCAGAGAGGAGGAGAAGCCAGGAGGAAGCAGAGGCAGGACACCTGACCCAAACTGGCCAAAGGGGTATTCCATACCACAGCACGTCATGCCCAGTATAGAAACTGGGGGGAGTTACCCGGAAGGCCCAGATCGCTGCTCGGGTCGGGCTGGGTATCGGTCGGCGGGTGGTGAGCGGTTGTGTCCTTTTCCCTTGTTATTCCTCTTATCATTCTTATTGGTAGCAGTAGTGGTTTGTATTATACCTTAGTTACTGGAGTGCTGTTATCTCAACCCGTGGGAGTTACATTCCTCCGATTCTCCTCCCCATCCCTCTGGGAGCGGGGGGAGGAAGGAAGAGGGCAGGGAGGGAGCGAGCGGCTGCGTGGTTCCAAGTTGCCGGCTGGGTTTAAACCACGACACGTGTGATTTTATAGCCTGATTTCATAGAAGCATAGAAGCATTGAATCATGGAATGGTTTGGGTTAGAAGGGACCTTAAAGCTCATTCAGTTCCAACCTCCCTTGCTATGGGCAGGGACACCTTCCACTAGACCAGGTTGCTCAAAGCCCCATCCAACCTGGCCTTGAACACTGCCAGGGATGGAGCAGCCACAACTTCTCTGAGCAACCTGTTCCAGTGTCTCACCACCAGTTCCAGTAAAGAACTTCTTCCTAATGTCTAATGTAAATCACTCCTTTGTCAGTTTAAAGCCATTACCCCTTGTCCTATCCCTATAATTCTATGATAAGAAATTCTGTAGCAAAATTAATCCTAAATATGAATAAGTGTTAGGCACAAAGTCTCTTAAATACTTTTAGGGAAGGATTTAAGAG